CAAATTGTCGACAGTATTGGCCATTGTCAAAATAAACCAATGGCAAATTATTTAAAAATATAATCAGTTTAAACAGATTACTTCTCTGAATTTTAGTACCATGATAAAACCTGCATCAAGTTCGTACCACGAACCAGCGGCGAAGATGACTACTTGTTTATTGGGAAAGTGGACGGGTGAGATTTCTCATATAAAATCATCAAAAATGACTAGTTCTCACTCATTTTCTCCAGCTTTTAAAACCTGATAAGCAAATTTTAAAAGAACTTGTTTCAAGTTACAATTCGCGAGTGAAATGGTAACGTATTTATTTGGACTACAAAATTTATGAAGAAAATTTTGTAACAGCATATTTGTAAAAAAATGACAGTTAAGTAAAACAGATGTAACATATTTTAATTTTTGCTTGTGAATGAAACCATTTTCGTGAAGGAATTTCACCGCAAAAAATTGGCTCTTGAACCTACTACATAAAAATTCCATTATAGCTGTTTCTCAGAAGTAGGACGAACAAGCGGCGTCCAAGTTTTGTCGCTGGACAATGGCTGCTTGGAGTATGCAACAATAATCCATGAGATGATGCACGTTGTTGGATTTTACCATGAACATGGTCAGATTTTTTTTACCTAACCGTCAAATACAATCTACTAATGAAAACTTTCTCCTCGACTGCATAACTTTGAAGCTGACTCGAAAAAAATTGAAAATAATCTTATCACGCTTACAGAACGGTGGGATCGAGATGACTACATAGATATAATATGGCAGAATATTGACCGAGGTATGAGGTTTGTCTAACACCAATAAATTCCAAGTTATTAATCTCCAAAATACACAAGTTCCTTTCTTTGAGCCTCAAAACGTTTTTGCTTCTCACCAACCGTTTGTTATTCTCTCAAATAACTCTACTCAGCCCTGAGTAATTACTTTCCTAAAAAAAAAGACGAAGGAAATGAAAAGCAAATATATATTAGTTTTTTCATACCTTAAAACATTGATGGGTTACCACCTCTTTATTTGTTTCCAAGTCAATACAATAACGAAGAACTACCGTTTCTACGACCTTTTTCTTGTTACAGCTGCTCTAGACCAATTTGGGAAAGTAGATTTAAGCAAGACATCCTACTACGGTCAGCCGTATGATTATAAATCAATTCTCCACTACGACAGTCTCGCATTTAGCAAAAATGGTTACCCAACAATGTTGCCCAAACAAAAAGGTACCGATCCAAAGCTGCTTCTCTAAACAAAATCAAAAATGATTACAAATACCACTTCAAAAAAAACCCTCTACCTAATCATAGCCTGGAGCTCCCGGTAGTTAACGCTGCAAAATGTTACACTCCGTACGCATCAGGAATTTGAAAAAGAATTACAATTAAGGGTGTAGAAACAACCGTTTTTAAAAAGATACTGCTTTCCTATAATATAAAAATCTCGGCCTCACAAAAGTCGAGTTTGTTGATACTAATCAGTGACTCCAATATATTCAAAGTCAGAAAATCCTCTCTAAAAATAACATCTAATAAAACAATTTCAAGGGTACGCATCAACAATTGGAAATGCCAAAGATTTTAGCGAAATCGATCTTGCCAAAATTAATCGAATGTATGACTGTCAAAATAAACAATATGGGGGCATACGGCGTAACTTCTACTTAGTCGCAAAAGCTCAAGTATGATAAAACAAAGCCTCGCAATTATTAAAAATAACCAAGACGAATTTTGCATGTGACGATGGTGCTAGGATATTAAATCTATTTATTGAATGCTCGCTAAAATACTATTTCAGAGTCCGCCATTATATTTGCCAAAACCAAAAGAATACGACGGGATGCAAGTAGATAATTACTATTATAATGAACTTGGTTACAAGTACAACAAACCATGTAAGTAATAAAAACTTTGACGCCATTTCTTAACAAGTCTGTGTAGTTCATAAGTAAAGCATTAACCAAATTAAAAGAGACTGGTCAGTAACAAATAATTAAAATTCATGAATATAATTCTTAAACCGGGATACGATAACTGTAAAACGCCCTTAAAGCTTTGCAGACTGCGAAGACCGGATAACTGTATGTTGGTGGAGTCAAGATCGATGTCATTCTCCACGGCTTCACAACATGATGAAAGCCCTTTGTGCAAAAACGTGCAACTTTTGCTGAAGTTCAAAGGCAACAAGTTAATAGGGACCGCGTTAGTAACAAGGTGAGGTAGCCTACGTTAAAAAACTTCCAAGAAAGACTCCAACAAGCGCCTCCGTTGCGCTGAACCTTATTCTTTAAATCAGCTCACCCTCTAAACAAACTCAACTTTCAGGTTAGATTACAGCTATGTCAAATTTTTATCCCTATGCAGGACTCAATTCTAAAATGAAATGCCTCAATGAAGCAATGAAGAGTCCTATACAGTCATAAAAATACTCCAATGCCCTCCAAAAATGCAACTTCGGTAAGGCAAACCATTACAAAGCCGACCACAGAACTTCAAAACATACTGTTTGTAAATATAGATAAAAAGATAATGGTTTTAACAACAGAAAAATGACAAGGTATCTTCTAAAATGTCGTTAAAGCTGACTTTAAAAATAAATCAAATTGAAAGATTTTTAAAAATACTTGTTTTTATTACACTACCTCAGCACCTTTAAAAACCGAAATATACATGTTAAAATACTTGAAAAAAAAAATTAGTGCCAAGATGTCTTCGCGTCAAATTACAAAAACAGAGACTTTTACACTAAATCACAAAATCCGATTTCAATCGAATAGTGCACAGCAGCATTTGTGCTGACACATTTTTGTGATGCGTTTTTCATTCGGAAACAATAAGGTAGTCATCATTACCACATAAAATATATTTTTGCAACTCCCAAGCTTATTGCAAACATAGAGAGAAACCAATGAGTTTCAAAGCAATTAGTAGGAAAAGCAACCCGTTGAGAATGAAAAAATTAGCTAATAAATACAACTGTGACAGTTCTTTTCCTCTTCTAAAAAAGAGATTTGAAAAAAGATGAACAGTTAATCTTCGGCGGAACGCAAGTTTCCTGCAGACGGGTCAAGATGTAAACGGAATTGTAACCAACAAGAGAAAACAATACAGTAATTCTCAACCGTACATCTCAGTAATTTGAAACTCGAGACCCTTCAACTTGCTTACCGTCAGTACCAGACAGAAGTCATGAACAAAGCTGAGATAACACTTTCCAAAAATAAATAACTACCGTAATTTAAAGCATGAGCTTATTTCTAGCAGATAGATAAGAATCTGTAAAACTGCAGGAAAAAAAAAGAAGAAAAAGAAACAAGAAAAGCAGAAACAAATTTCCAAACCTTATAACTTCTTTCTTCCAATCACCAAATTTTTAAATTGAGAATCTAAGCAAAGAGCAAAATCTGATTTAACCAAAACAAGAACAACTGGCTAAAGAGTACAAAAATGTGATTCTAACAAGACATTCAATTCATAAAATAATGACAAGATCTCTATCTCAAGAAATATAACGAAAGACCTCCCGCTAAAACCCCGACCCAAAAAAGAAACTAAATTTATTTAATCTCTCCCATTTCTAATATTCACTGATCCAGTGTTAAGCCGGAGGTTTCGTTTAGCTTAATTCGTAATAAAAAAAGTCATAAGTAAGGCTCAAAAACACAACCACAGCATCAGCTTAGGGTAAAATCAAAAAAATCTTTTTTAAAAAAGTTAAATCCATCTATCATTAAGTATAAAAATAAATTAATGTTAAACGCAGCAGATAAAAATTTATGTTTTTACGAGCTGATGATGTATGAATTTAAAATGTCGCGTAAAAACAGAGCTTACTATTTAATATACCCGTGCCTCCTTACACCACTTAAGAAATGACAGCAGCCAACCAAAAGTGGCAAGACCCTGAGATATTGTAAAGCTTATTGCAGACCAAAACCGCGACTGTAACTGATGGCTTTCATTAAGCGCTCCCTCATCACATTTAAGTCACCGTAATCTGGCAATAGCAAAATATTGTAACAGGTATGTGCAGTAGGTAACCTGTAAAAAATTAGCATGAACTAGAGTTTTTTGCAGAGATCCCGCTAAATATGGTCTATTTGAATCGTTATACAACAGTTAGACTTTTACTTGTATGAAGGTAACGAGATACAGATATAAGAAATGAACACGTACCTTAGCTTGTCATCGCCATTACGTGCAATAATTACTTCAAGTTTTAGCAAACCCCCAACTGGCACCCTGTCAGAACCCGTTATGAACTGAAGAAGCATTTTCTTCTCTTCAACCGACATTGCTTTAGCAACGGTCCAAAAATCCTGAACGGTTATCATAATTATTGATCTAAAAAGTTGAATCCTTCATTAAAACACTGAAATAAAATTTTCAAACTTCTATTGTTGCACTTTTGGCGTTATACCCATTTTGGTAGCGGGCAGCCTTCGACAAAAGATCAAAATTGAGATCCTGAAATTTGATAACTAACTGAATCATCATTCACAAAAGGAACCTTTCAATTGTTACGTAATAAGCCATATGGCAACTTAATTTAGTAAGATAATAATTTTGAAACTACAGTTCACAACAGTGAAATGTGGTAGTTCTGATGAAGCTACAAAACAAAGGAAATATAAGAAAAAAAAGCATAAGTGTCGACAGTGCTTAAAGACAGTGTTGCAATTTCAAAAAATTAACAACTCTCTTCCGCTTTAAAAACATCTCTGCTACCTTCAAAACCTTTCTTAACTCAACCTGCAGAAAAAAGATATAATATTTTGCTGAAAACAAGTTTTATAAAGATATGAAAATATTACCAAAACGCCGCACACCATTTCTTCAACTTCATGTGGAAGACAAATACGTCGAAGAAGACTGCAATTAGCAACCAAAAAAAAACCCGCTTTAAACGCTTCAAACTGTCGCTTTATCACTTGATTTAAAAGGAAGTCCGCATATAGAAAGACAAATTCCTAAACAAATATAATCAAAAAAGTAACGACAAGGACAATGTTAAAATTACTTTTTTGTTTGCATTTGTAACTGGTATGTTTTCGCCATTTGGAATAAGAACTTCAGTATGCGTGTTTCCATAAGCGTCTTTATAAGATACTTGAAACGTGTAACAAAATATGCTTTCTACATCATCTTCACATTCCAGTAGGTCAACCAGTGACCTGTATAAACTCTGAAATATGAAAGAGTTTTTTTAACCTTGGCAAATAAAAACTTGTAGTAAAGAGTTAATCAGCATACCATATCTAATTGACCAAGTTCTTCAAAGACCGCTGGACGCGCAAGCAGTTTAGTGTAAAGTAACGTTGGAAATCTGACATCTACTAATACATTGTTATAAATAGCTAAGCCAAACAACAATCCAATGAGGTTATACTCATCGTCACAAAAAGTGCACTGAGAATTAAACCAGTAAAGACCTGTTTTTTGATTACAAACGAACATGCCTGAAATTATTACTGTTTATACCCATCAAAGAAATTCACAGTAATAAAACTTATGTATATATATA